ACGTTTTAATGTGCTCTCGCCTTGTCTATCTGTGCGCGCTAATGAAAAATTATGAATTTATGCTACGCGTGTTCGGCCTTTGGCTTTGCCTCTGCCTCTGCATTTGAATATAATTCACATTTACGACGCGACTTGACCAGATTTTACAAATTAATATGGCAGCTTTCCGTCAGCAGCCTCCACTTAATGCCAGCAGCATTTGTGCACTTGCCACTTTTACGATCCGGCTTCATGTCTAATGCAACTTTTATTAGTTGTTGTGCGTGTGTAAACTAAATGGCTAATGTTTTATTAATTGAATTATTACATAAACGAACTATGTACCGGACCCAACCAGTGGAGGATGTGGTCAGAACTCTTGTGCCCACTAAAATTTGCCGTTATTAAAAACAGAATTTTGTTGAATAAATAATATTGGGCTGAACACAACACTAAATTTGCGACTAAATATTAATTCCAAATTGCAATCAGTTGATTTACTAACTGTCCTTATTGAGTTTGTAAAACATTAAATATTTATTTATCGTGAAATGCTCTTTCACTAATAGATCAAGATTAAATGCAAATAAACTTAATATCTTTGCATGTATTTTTCTGTTTGTAATAGTCGTTCACGTACTGAAAGAGTATATAGGTTGTGAGCAAATTCCTTCTAGCTGTCTTTATGTCCGTTTTTCAGATGGAAACTTAGTTCAATAAACTGAAAAGGTACTTAGATTTGTCCTAATTCGCTTATATAGAATTAGGACAAATCAAAGTACCTTCTCAGTTTATTGAACTAACTAATCGGAGTACCCCATATCATCCAAAGCTTTGAAGCACCCAGCGCTTCTATCCTGCATGAGTATTATTTAGTCGGTAGCGTCATTGTAAAATACTTTAAACATGCTTGCTTCTGTTATCAAATCAATTGGACAGCTTAATACACACGTATAACATGGCATAATGCCGTAGCAATTAATAGCAGGTTTGCTCTTATGTTTAGCAGATGCTTTTTATTCGTGTGAATTTATTTTTATTTTCAAAAATAACCGGAAGCATAGCAAAGGATTTTTGCGCATATAAACAATGCAGAAAAATATTGTTGATTTTGCCGTTGCTGTTTCTGCTGTATTTTATAGAGCAGCGATTTGTGAATGGCCCTCTATAATTTGCCACATTAAAGCGGCAAGATATAGCCTAATCCCGCCCAAGATTTATGCGACAACTATATAAATTGAATGTAGATATAGATGTAGATATATGTATATATAAATGTTCATATTCAAAAAGAAGGCGCCGTACGCCATTTGTTACTTAGCCATTTGTGATCTTTTAAAAGCCGACAGAGACACAAGCGTTTTCTCTCTATGTCTATCTATCCGTGTTTACGTCTGTTTTTTGGCTTTTCTTTTACTCACACACACACAAGAAAAGAAAACAGCGGCACTTCGTCTATTTTATTAATATAGAAAAAAGTAAATGTTATTTGTAGATGCAGAATTGGTATGTTTTATTTGTACACTTGACCACTTGGCGCTCATAAAAAATGGGATTTTAATATTTTATGCACAGACAATATAACATTTTCACAGCGGCATTTCTTCATATAAATATATATTTGCGTGGGTCGTTGGAGCGTGGCCAAGTTATGCACTTTTTTCGGGCGCCCAAAAATAAACCGCGACGTAAAAGTTTTCAACAATAAAAATAAACGAAAGAGCCGAAACAAAAACAAAGAGATCTTTGTATATACCCTTGAATATAAATTAATAATATATATAATATTTACTGAATGTATAAATAAATTAAATCACCAACTAATATAGAGAAGGACTTAATTTAGTTGAAGTAACCAAATATTTGAAAGATTGATTATGAGCTTAACGCAGCAACTTGATTTTAAACATTTGTATTTCGATTGATGCCAAAGAAAACATCTAAAACGTCTTTAATTCGTGGCAGACGTGCTGATGAAATTATCATCCCCAGCGCAAGAGTATCGGAAATATTTATGTATGTGAATATGTAAGCTTATGTGTATCATGAATTATAGTCTGTGAAACTTAAGAGCGACGTCATTCTAAATTGCGAGCGTCTATGCGTATGGGTTCTAGACATGTATGCATATATAGATACATATATATATATATATATATATATATATAGATAAAGTGTAAAACGCTTAATTAATTTACGCTGATTATTGATGCGCTCGATGTGATCTATTAAATCATGTAGAGCGCTAGTTGTTAATGTTGTGGCTCACCTGTGGGCGTCGCGCGATTGTATATATATATATATATATGTATATATATATCTGTATATATCTTTAAAATAGACGCAATGAAAAACTATATATATAGTTGTGTGGTTGGCACGTTGTGGCTATCAATTAGACGGGGCTAGACTAAATCAATTGCGGCAATTGCGGCAATCAATTAGCGTATCGATTTGTGTAAAGCGAAGATAACATTCTCAGCAGCAATGCGGTGCTCTTCAATTTTGGTGTGCTGCCTTTTAGCTAATGAATTTTGGGGCGAACGGTAAAGTTTGCCCAAGCATAATGAGCTATTATGATGCCTGGTGTTGCATAAAATCAACCTGCATCCACATGCCACAGAATATGGTATTGAGCAATGTCCATTTCGCATTTCCAAAGCTCACGTGCCACAGAGTCTCTATAAATATTTCTATATAGATATTGCATGTATGCAAGTATGTGTGTTTGTCTTTGTGTGTGTGTGTGTATGTGTGTGTGGCGAACCACACTAAATACATACATACATGCCAGGGCACATTTACCTGGCTTTTAACAGTTCTTAGTTTGCACTCTCATGCGTATATATATATATATATTTATATATGTGTGTGTGCCAGAGCAATTTGTATGCAACGCTGCTAGCTGGCTGCTGGCAGCACGCTGAACGATTGCGCCTCAAGTGCACTGAGGTTGCGACGTGAACATGGCTCCGGCTCCCGCCAGGGACAGCTGCTTAGCGTTGTGTTAACCTTGTTAAAGAGCTGCCCTCCGCCACCTTCAGCTGGCAACGACCTAAACGACCTGTGCGACCTGTGCTTGCATTTGAGTTCAACCGGAACTAATGCCAACTCACTTCGATACCTCAGAATCGCTTTTTGTGCGCTTTTATTGCATTTCGATGCCATAATTAACAAATATTGAGCGTAATGTTGAGAGCTGAAGGGGCAGAACTATGGCATTTTGTTGCTTTTGTAATTGGTATACAGCATATAATAGCAGCATAATACTCGGCATCCATTTCGAAACTTGTTTATAAACTTCAGACTAAGTTCTTTGTATCTAAATATATATAATATATATCACAACAAATATATATCATAACAAATTTCTAAGTACTTATTTTATCCAATATTCTGTGTGTGCTTAAATCATATTCCTGTATAATTTAGTTAGCTCTTAACATTATGGATATCTTCCAAGCACCACTCTCACTCAAAAGCATTTAAACTTGTTTTTGTTTTGCTTCTCGTTCCACTGGGCAAAGCATCAGCGAAAACTAACACACTGTTGCATTTTTCATTTGATTACCCATAGCAGTGGTAAAATGTGCTGTATGCGCAGGAAATTCGCTTAAGTGTAAAACAAAATGTAAAAATTAAAAATTAATGATCTGCTTCCGAACCACATACCTAACCGCAGAGCACTAGCTCGCTCGGACCCCTTGACTTCTCTGTGCCAAACAAAAAAAAAAATAAATAAAAAACTTAAAATCCCAAAAACCTAGTTGCAAAATATATATATAAATATATATATATATAAAGAAAAACTAAGCACTTTGTAACTTGACTCAACTTTGGAGCCGCATTGAAAACACGTGAAAATATTTTGGCTCAACTGCAGCGGAGCGAAATGTATTTAGCAGCAGTACGTGAGGCTGCCACTGCCCTCTGCTCCTTGTCAGGAATCGTAATTTGCAGTTATCATTTATTTAGGCATCCATTAACGCGCACATATTGATGACCAGCAGCTGGAGACCAAACTCCGCCTGGGGAGTGAATAGTGAGTGGGAGAGGCAGGGGTAGGGGTATAGGGACTGGCGTATGCGTGCAATTGCTACTTGCCACTCAGCTATGCTACAAGCTAGCAATTACTTTTGAGTTAGTTGGCTTAATAGAAATTCAACGAGCGTATTTTGTTTGTCTTGTAGTCAGTCATCCTGTGCCCAGGTGTTTCCCAGGGCCCACTTTGATTTTCATAGGTAAATGTTGGAGCAACTTTTCCGGCTTACATTGGTCTGGCCTAACGAACCTGTCCCGCGGCGAGCGCTCGTTTATGCGCGTTTTGTTTGCCCAACGCAAACTCAGCCTGGTGGCAAGCTATGCCAGCTATGCGACGTTGCTGCTGCAAATCGATTATGAATTATTTGACTTGAAGAAATGACTTATGAGACTTCTTCCTGCAGGACAAAAGCGTAACGCACAATGGCCACTTGCCATATACCTTATCATTGTTATGGGTGGTTGTGGTTAGCTGCTTGATGCCATAATGTTAAAAAAAATTATTTAAATATGCTTTATCCCGTAAGGAGAGATAAATGAGTTCAAAGAGCTGTTCTACAAATAAAAATCCTATACCACGTTTTGACATAATCTTGTAGGGTATTTTTAACTTCAGAGTCCGATTGACAAAATTTTTTATATATATTTGTAAAATGTACAATGTTATCAATCCAGTTTCTTCTTATATGGACGATTTGGTAAGATTTTTTATAGGGTATTCTGTCAGCAAACATGACATGATGCTTTTGCTTGGCTATACGCCCTTTTAACACTAATAAATTAAAAAGCGTTGCTCTTTATATTGAAAATTAATTTAAATATTGTTGCAGTGATTTATGGGCTCATTCTTTTAATATATTTTTAATTTGAATTCTATTCGATGTGCATAAATTATAAACACACACACTCAGCTCTTTAGTTTGATGTTTTGAAATGTTCATGTTATTAATTTATATATTTTCTTTTTATTTTCATTTCAGGTAAGTTTGCAGTACGACGAGAAGGAAAACGTAAGTCGCAACTGAATAATACCAGCTACTATCTGCTTATTTATTTAGCCACTCAATTGTTGTTGGGTGGTGTTTATTTGACTGCTGCTTTTAAATAATTAATGTCTTGGTAATCGATTTTCATATTAATTAAGATTTATTTCATTCGCATGACAGTCGTAGAAAGAGAAGCAACTAATTGGGAATAAGAGCGAAAAGGCAGCTAATTTATTTTCCCAGTTGCGCATTTTTATAGTGCAATTATCACGCCCGTTGAGTGGGTCACTGGCAAGGTCCGCCAAGCTCTCTAACCAGGGTGTACCCGGGTAAGGCCCAGATAAAAATCTTACAAATTAGTTAAAGATACCCAACAGTATGCCCCAATCTCCAAAACAGCTATTTAGACAGTTGATTAATCGCCTAATGTATTAGGTTTTCGTAATTTGTGGTTGGCTTTTGTTTGTGCCGCCACCACCACCAGCACATCTTGTATTACTATGTGTGTGTGTATAACATATGTGTTGCTGGGCAACCACTAAGCCAATTTAGTTATCGGTTTTTCGTCCTCTACTCAAAATGTCATCAATGGACCCACAATTGGAACTTGATAGCCAGCAAATTTGCTGTCTCGTTTTCTATTAACGTATCGCTTTGAGTCTGAATTGGCTTTGAATTAAATATGTATATCACATTATTGCGTATATTCAAGAAGCTCTTGCCGCCATTCAAGTGGCACTTGTGGCAATTACTGCCAAGTAGCCGCGACTAATTTGTGCACCTTGTCTTTTTAACGCGTGCGGACTTCAAAGCATTTCATGCTGACTTAAATCAGACGTGTCAGACCCTACAGCTGCGGGCAGGCAGGCAGGAAGGCAGGCATTGCCCTGCTCAGTCACCTCTCTGGGCGACCGCGCCCACTCTCTACTCTCTACTGTGTACTCCACTTTCTACTTATACATAAATCTTTCTGTGGCCGCCGTTTTCAAGTCAATTCACGCAGAGCGTTTCAAGTGTGGGTAATTTATTATTATAGCGCATTTGGCGCGGTGCAATCGTAAAATTATTGAAGCTATAAGCTTGTAACAAGATCGCTTGAGGTCAATAAGGAGATGCTGAGCTAAAGTAAATAAATACCAAAATTGAAATTTTTAATTTCATTTTCTCAGATCTGTGGCAAATGATATAATGGAATTAACATTTAAACATTTGTTCATAAAATGATTGCGACTAGTGTGAAAAAAAAAACAAATAAAGAAAATTTAAAAAAAAAATTTAATTTACAAAAAAAGGATAAAAACATAAAAACATTTCGAGTTATAATTCTTCTTGACTATCCGAATTACTTGTCGAACCCTCGTCACAGCATATTTGCTGCCCTCTAGCTGGCTACTTAAGATGCTGTTGGCCAGCGTCATCTCTTGACATCTCTATCACACCTAGGCCGTTGCGCACTGTCCCGTCACAAGATTTTTCTTTACTCAATTATGAAAAGAAATTATTAAGTGCTAGCTGCGCTAAATTAGTGCGCAATTGAGTGTGGCGGGCGGCATAGTGGGGCCGGAACAGTGGTGGGGGCTGCACCTGACTCAGTCGCCTGCCAGCAGCTTGTGCATTGCATGCAATGTCTTTTGCGGCCAGTCTGCCTGCTTGCCTGCCTGCCTGCTTCTCTGTGGCCTGTTGGCTCATATTTTTGCCTCCCAGTTTCTAGGTAGCTTGTGGCACACGTCACCGGCGCGGGAACTGAGTGTGAGGTATGGCTGTGTGTGTGTCTGTATCTGCATGATATAAATGGCGCACATTTTGTGCATTTCATTTGCGTGATTTGCCAGCCAAAATGTGTAGCATTTTCCTCACCCATATATCGTCGGAGCCGTCGTACTCAGAACGATGTTGCTCCTGATGAGTATGATGATAATGTCTGGGCCGTAAGTGACGACCTGTCTGGCCACTTTTGTGGCATGGGACACTGAAACGGCAACAGGTTGCTCGGCTGCACAAGCTGCAAGTGAAGCTACTTTAGAGAGTTTCTGTTTCTGCTTCTGTTTCTGTTTTTTGGTTTTATTTTCAGTTTGGTTTTTCATTTGAGTAGTGCTGTGTGTTCTGGATAGGTGCCAGATTCTTGTGTTGCAACATCACCACGCCTCCCCTAGCACCTAGCATAGGAAGGCGTGTTATCAGCAAAGCTGCTAATGAGGCATTTACATTGTTATGCAATTTTCGAAGCTCTAGCGCATTATTTCTTAATTGGCTGTGACTTCACCAAGTTGCTAATTGCTACTTTTTGCTTTGATCGCGTACACAACTTATCCGATCATCGTCTGCGCAGCTCGATCGTCATATACATATGTGTATTTAAGTTTTACGATTCTTCAGCGATTTGCACACGATAAACAAAGTAAAAAACGCGACGGCTGCCAGAAAGACTTTTGCGAAAGACTCGGGTAAATAAACAAAACAACCGACGCGACGGCCCAGGCAGGCAAAAGAAACGACCCACTCACTAGAACTCAGCCAGCCAGCCAGCTAGACAGACAGACATACGGCTGGCCAGGCGATGAGACACGACCATCTGTGGCACCGGGCAGAGGAGGCGAAAGAAGTCTCATCCTCCACAACACTGGCAACGGCAATGGTTCAAAGCTAGAAATCGGATCAGATCACACGGCGTCAGGCAGAGGGGCACGACAAACGCAAACACTAACTAAATATTTATGCATGAGAATGGAAATTGCTGCAGCGAATGAAATCCAAATTTGATGATATTCCTTGAAACTTATATTTTTTTCTTTTTTATTATTTGTTATTTTTATGCAGCTAAGATCTTTTGCTTCGTTTGTGATTTAAATGTTTCGAGTGTATACGAGAATTGACAAGAGTAGAAGAAATGTGTTGGGTGGATTTATTTTGATAGAAGGAAGCAAATCTTTTCGAGTGAGCGTATTAAGAGAAGTAAACCATTTCCAAAAGAGGCTAAAAACTTTATTCCTGAATTCATTTTTTTTTAAATTTATATGTTAGTTAATTATAGATCACATATAAGTTAGTTATTGTAGATAGTGAGAGAATTTCAAAACAAATTAAGCCTGTAATCGACCTAGGAGAGATTAAGTTTTGAGTACCTGACAAATATTTTTAGTAAAAATCACAAAAAGTTGTAAATTAAATGTTTTCTTTATTACCTGTTAATTGCTAATTGATTACACCTAATCTCTGTTTAGCTTTTGATTTGAAGCCTTTCAACTTCAATGCGATTACCAAGAAGCGTGAATGATTTGCAAAATGTCATAAAGCCCAGAGCAAGCGATATCAATTTGTGTCGCTTTGGTTTCAGTTTTACAATTCTCGTCGTTTATTATGCGGCGCAGCAGAGCAGATCATTAACACACTGAGTGTGAGTCTGAGTGTGTGTGTGTGCGGGTGTTGTGTGAGTTTCTATAAATGCTTTACTGTAGTATCCGCACAAAGAGCAAAAAGTAGACGCTACAACGAGATTTAAACTATTCCGATCTAAGTGGCGAATGCGACAGAAAACGTGGTCAACAATTAATATCAGCAAATAAAAACAAAGCTGTTGAATAATGCGAAAAAGTATCTTTAAGATACGTTTGGCTGTCAGCGAGCATCAAATGATGTACCCCCAGTCGGACAGTGCAGTGTGCATAGGTCTCGTTGTCTGCCGTTGTCCAAGTGGCACTCATTATACTGAATCATTTGTTGTGTCGCCGCCTACGAGCGGATCATATTGTGACGCTTTCAATTAGGCCAAAGCCCCAGTTGTCTTCGCTGATCGCTGTTGCAGCTGCTGTTGCAGTTGCACTTCCATTTCCATGTGAGCCAATTTCCGCTGCATTGAACGGTTGTTGCATAGCCAGTAATTATACGAATGCAGTTAAAGTTGAACCAGCTCGTGCTTGGCGTGTAGCAGCACATTGTTTCTCATTTTACGAGTGTGAAATTTAATTAATTAAAACTTGACAAGTGTTCGTTGCACATAGACAGCTAGTTGGCCAATCAGAAATTTTGCTACCTGACAACATGGTTCGCATATTGTGTGCATGTGCGCCTGTCTGAGTCTGCCAGCATGCGTTATCCAACACTGTAAAGCTCGCATTTCCCTGTCACTAGCATGCTGGCTCTCCTGTCGACTGGTGCCTGGTTGAAGCTATTCATTTAGCGCTGTATTGTCCAGGTTAACTGCCCAGGTTAATAGCAGCCGATTGCCTGTGAATGTGTTTGTAGCCAAGTTTATATATATATATATGTAAGTGTGAGAGTGTATGTGTGACCGTTTGCGATTAATTATGAAGTTTTGCCGCCAACGGCCATGGCGTTAGCGTTGGATGCTGTAAATCGGATTTAAAAGTTTTAGATTGTTTTCGTGGATTTTGTTTTCTGTCCGCGAGCCAATCATAAAAAAGTTAAAACGATACACAAAACTATACACATTTTAGTTTTACTATTAAAATAATTGTAATTTTTTGTATTTTTTTTAAGGTACAATAAGCTATTTGTTTAATCTGCTAACAGGCAAAATTAAGAAACTATTACAAATGTTAATTAAATAGATCATATTAAAATCCAGATTTATTAATCATTGAAAATATCTTCAGACTAAATATATAATTTAGAAAAGGAAAGTTGCTCTATTAACTTTGGTTAAGTTTGGCACTATCGTACAGCTGCTTTTCCAGGAATAACACCTTGCTGTTTGAATGAGCAGAATACGGCTTCATATTTCATAATGAATTGTGTGCAATTTTGAAAAGCGCTTTTCCGGCTGCTGTGCAGTTGTTAATGAACTAAAGTTGATTGCAAGTTGAAAAGCCAGACAGCTGTACGTGTTCCACTCTGCACAGGTGCCTGCAACAACAAACAACCTAAGGTTGTGCTTTAAAAGGCAACCGCCATATTTAACACTAAGCCAGCTAACTAATTGGTCAGCTTTTGTGCCCAGAGTCACACGTGCGTGTGTGTGTTCTGTTAAGCTTGTAGCCTGTCAACCTGCTATCTATACAGCCATTTATATATCCATGCACGGGCTTTGCCTTTGGCTTTTTGGGCGACGCACACGTCAGAAGTGCAACAGCTTAAACGTTGACCATTCAACACGTCAGCCAGGAGCTTAACTTGTTGCACAAAACCAACTAGAAGAGCAGTTGGCCAAACAGACAGTTGAGTCTGTCAAAGCCTATGAAATGTGAACCTTGTTGTAGGGGTCCTGGCCAAGTTTTGCTAAGCTGACAGCTGCTGAGTTTTTCGCAAAAAATGGGTTTCATAAATTATGTAAAACTTTAAAATTTTGTCGCTTCCGTTGTGCCGTTGTCCT